CTTGGTCACGCATATGGCTATGGGTCTGATTAGTTCAACACAACGTTGGTCCCCGGGCGCCTTGTTTCTCAGGGCCGCCTCGTTGCCTGGCTGCTGACATCGTGCAGCATAAGGCAGATGGCATGCAAACAGAGCTGCAGATCTAAACACTCTTGCATTCTCGAACAGGCTCCTGACAGCAATCATTTAATCAAACAAAAAGGTCACTCATTCCATGCATGTATCCACTGCAGACGGTGCAAAAATGAGGCATGCACAGGAAAAGGTGGATCGCATTATTCAGGACACACGCATCCACCATTCACAAGACGAGAAGACTGGGTCCTTGCATAGGAGGGTTGCCCAGGAAACTAATGGAAGAGTTCCGGAAGAAGTTCTTTCACACAGAATGCTGACTCATTTCCATTCAAGAGCGGGACAATCATTCAGACGCATCATTAGTCAAGGAGAGAGCGAGAAAGAGAGAGAGAGAGAGAGAGAGAGAGAGAGAGAGAGAGAGAGAGAGAGAGAGAGAGAGAGAGAGAGAGAGAGAGAGTCAAAATAGAAGGGGAGAAGGTCCGAAGAGATAAAAGTTCGGCGTCGCCGCCTTACACTCTCGCCAAAGATAACAACCCGCAACAAAGGCGCATTCGCCGTCAATTCCACTATGGCCCCGGGCCACATTACTCACTCAACTCCAATCATCGAACATTATACCCGCACCGACGATCCCGGTCGTCGCGTGCTAACTCCCACCACCGCGATCGTCAACCCCCTGTCGTAGAACTCGACACGGTTCGCCCGGATCCCACAGTCTGTCGTGGCGATCAAGCACGCAACCGGCCAGCCTATCGTCAGCCCGACAGGACTTTCCGACTCGCATCAATCTACTCTGCCTAGCCACTGCTTCCTGGAAGCGGGCTTAGGAGTCGAGAACGTAAGAGAGCTTTGCGGACGGGCTTGCGAGTTTTATAGTTGCGCTAGGGGAGATAGAAGGGGGAGAAGGCGACAGGGAAGCTGAGGTGTAAGGGGAGAAGCAGGAGGAGCAGACTTTGAGAAGAGTGCTCCACGAACGCCATGTTGATCCCTCGGAACCTAAGGTTCAACCAATCAGATTCGTCGCGCGACAGGAAGGTCCTATCGATCCACGCACCTGATTGGAGAGCGGGAGTTGTCGGGGGATCAACCAGGCGTCGTACGTCAGGCTCAGAGGGTGAGAAGAGAAAAGGCGCGAGAGGTGGCGCAAGACGGGTCCAAGATTCAGATGATCAAGAAAGGGAAATGGGCGCGCGAAAGCAAGGCGGGAGAGAGAGAGGGAGGGAGAAGGAAAAACAGTTACGGGGAGAGAGAAAAAGGAGGGAGAAGGGAAGGGAGGCGCGATGCGGGGGACAGGGAGGAGGAAGCTTTTGCATGCACGGTGCCGTCAACAAAAAGAAAAAAAAGGCATCGAAATAGTTACAGCTTGCTTCTATCGTAATTCAAAATTGAAATCACCATATCCGCGCGTGGAAAAGTGACGCGGGAAAGGAAAATCCTACGTCTATTCGTATTTACGCAAAATTCCGAGAGTTTTCTTCGACGCGCCCAAGGACATTCACATACTCAAAAAGGACACGTCGGGGCTCCGCTTGTTCCGGAATTCCCAACTGCTGAGCTCAATTCCCAGTGCGCTCGCTAAGGCGCACGTAACTTCCCATATATTTTTCGATTTTTGCAAAAAAAAAGAATAGAACCCAGCAGTCGAAAAAGAAGCTCTCTAGAAAAAAGGAAAAATGCGGTACCCAAAAGCAAGTTAATCAAAAACGGGCTTTCCTGGGGTTGGTCCGATAGAGCAAAAGAAAGGGTACGAAAGATAGCATGGGGTCGGGAAATGGTTCGTCACAGGCGTGAACAACTGATGCATATCACAAGTGGCCTTCTCACCATCTCAAGTCCAGATGTTTGTCTCAAGGGCACGAGGAACGAAATGCCACTTAGGTAAAATTAATGGATTTATATATTTTTTAAAGGGTGATCGCCCTACGATGTCATCATCTATCATCGAACTGACCGGCCCCAGGCAATTCAGAATTATTATATTATTTTATTCATCTGCCAGCATTTGGATTCAAACTTGGGTCAGTATTTCAGCAGTTCATGGGTGTACCATTCGAACTTGGGTCAGTATTGCAGCATTTCATGGGTGTACTGCCAGTTCACCTGAGCAGAGTAGTGCTCTTACCAGTTTACACGGTAATATTTTTTCAATTTGGGCCTGGCCCGGTAGCGCTCTTACTGGCCGTTGACACGGTGAGAGCTTCTCGATCCGAGTCTGGGCCGGTAGTGAACGCGACAGGCCGCTTTGAAAAGGCGCAGTTGCAGGCTCATCAGCCTTGGAAGTTAGCTTTGTCAACGTACTGGGCTGCAGGTTCACACAGCCTAAGGGTCGGACTCCACTTCATGGCAGCTGCGGTGCGCTTGGAAAATGTCCGCACACCGAAATTGTAGCCCCTGAGGTGGGAGAAAGGAAAAAAGACCGCACCACAGCAAAATTTTCCCGCGGGTTTGTCTCTTCAGGTTACCCGACAGGGAAAGCTTTCCCTATTCAGAAAGTAGAGCTCCGCCTGTCTCGGCCGCCATCCAATCCCTGGGTCTCCTTGCCGCACAGGATTGCCAAATGGGAAGAGATGCCCCACCCCTCTACCCCCTCAGGATGGCCATTGCACGAGGAAACTGGTGTGCAAAACTGAGTGAAAAAATCTGAGCCTGCAACTGCACCTCTTTTTTTTTTTTTTTTTTTTTTTTTTTTTTAAATGCTAATCTTCTCTGCATCCTTCCAATTTGAACTGATGTTCCGAAGGACTAAGGGTCTCGTTAGACACTCCTAAAAGTGCCTGTTTTTAGGATTGCGTCTTCGTTGCACACAATCCTAAATCCAATTTCGAGATCGGAAATGTGTAAACCGCGTTAGGACGAGTCCTAACTGCATATTTTCAAAGTGTCCTGCCACGTTCACGACGGGCCCAGGCTCTTGTTCCGGTGAACTGGTGGTTTCAACCACCAGTACGTTTCACAGCCATTTTTTTTCAGAGATGTGGTGTGCGGGGCAGGAAGTACCCGGGTGCCGTTTCGCCGCACATTTGTCCAGGCAAAAGGGGTCGAATGCGAGGCCCATTTTCCCTGGATGGATGTCCAGCGAAACAGCGCCCCAGTACTTCCCGCCCGACGCAGCATGCACACTGCTTCTCTGAAAAATTGGCTGGGAACCTACTCGTGGTTTCATAACTTCTTTTAAACCACCAGTACTTGGCCCAGCTATCCATGCCGATCCTTGAAAAATTGGCTGGGAACGCACTCGTGGTTTCATAAACGTCTTTTAAACCACCAGTACCCAGCTATCCATGCCCAGCCTGGGAATGTACTGCTCGCCAAGTTTCGCCGAACCGACAGGCCCGCAGCAGCCTATAGCAGATAGCTGCGCCAAGTCCTGGTGGTTTGTCAATCTCAATCTAGGGAGCCCTTGAAAGTCCGGAACTTGAGTTCCAACCCAGGTTCAACCAGATGGCATGACCAAAATCATTCAGATTATTACCTACCTTCTTCCCCCGAATACAACGTACGGTCAGTCTAGCTGCATCTAGACTGAAAGATGGCTGAAATACACCTACAATAACCGTACGTTGTACTCGGTGGAAGAAGGTAGGGGTTGTCAGTTCAAGATCGCAGTGGCTCTGCTCATCGCCTGCAGCTCGGCCCCGCGCTGCCCTCCCGGGGCTACCTTCTTCCCCCGAATACAACGTACGGTCATTATAGCTGTATTTGAGGCATCTTTCAGTCTAGATACAGCTATAATGACCGTACGTTGTATTCGGGGGAAGAAGGTAGGTCCCACTTGCACGAGTTAAGTTAAGAGATATTGACCGTAGATAGCGCAGATCAACGGTAAGAATCTCGTAATCCGTGCAAGTGGGACGTTGCCATTGGGCGCACCGGCGCGCACCGCTCGTGCGCAGGTTTGTCGACTATATATAGCTGTTTTTTTTATTATGGGCGATGGACTTGAGGTATTATCATCGGACTAACCAGCCCAACCAATCTTGTGTCTAATCTGACAACGGTGGCCTTTTCAGCCTACATGTAGCTTTCGGTTCATCTTTTGTGTTTTTTTTTTGTTTTTTCAATCTTTGTTTATCGACCGGCGATCGTCTCCCAGAACCCCCCCCAAAAAAAGAAAAAAAAAAAAAAAGGAAAAAAAGGGCAAAAGGCTCATAAAAAAGGAAGGACCGCCGCACGCCGGGTGCCGGTTGTCGTGCCGGAAAAACGCACCCTGATTATCAATTTATCAATGTATACAGCCGAGGTTTCCAGTCCCGTACAGCCAAAATTAGGGTGCGTTGTGTTTGGGGGAAGACGGGGACCGCCCTCGTTCCGTTCCGTTCCGTTCCGTCGCATTGCATTCTGTCCCCTTCTCTGCCGTTACGTCGAGTCCAGTTGCACTGTTTCGGCATCTGTCCCTGTTCGACGGGTAGGTTCACAGAGACCGGCGCGGCCAAGCTCTTTACACCAGCGCGCCCTTGTTCCTTGCTTTTCGTGTCCTGTAGCACTGTAGCAGGGGAGGGGAGAGAACGCAAGGGGAGGGGGAGGGAGAGGGAGAGAACGCAAGGGAAGGGAAAGAAGGGTGGGTGAGGAAGGCAGGGAAGAGCAGAGGAGGAGGAAGGAGGACGGAGGAGAAGGGCACAGAGCGCCGTCGCGGGGAGTAGCAGAGAGGAGAAGGACAGAGGAGGAGGGAGGAGAAGGGCGCAGAACCCTTTCGCAGGGAGTAGCAGAGAGGAGAAGGACAGAGAAGGAGGGCGGAGGAGAAGGGCCCAGAACCCTTTCGCGGGGAGTAGCAGAGTGGAACAAGCAACTGGAAGAGGAAGAGGAAGAGGAAGAGGAAGAAAGAGGGTGGGGGCTTGACGTCTGTCTGCGAGAGGGGGCCGGGGCGCTGGGGGGCGGCGGGCGGGGGGCGCGTATCCGGCGCCGAACAGCGGCGGCGGCGGAGGCGGCGGGTGCTTACACGTGTGTTATCTTCATCTCGGTGGAGTTGAAGGCCTGCTTGCTGTTTATCCTCCTACAGCTCCCACGTGTCATCCTCATCAGTCATGCCTGCCTCAGCCACAATGTCAAGCCCTGAGGATATCGTTCACAACCTGTCCTCTCTGGACACCAATGCGCGTCTCCGCGCGTTACGAGAGGTCAAGAATCAGATCATCGGTAATAAGACAAAAAAATTATCGTATATAAAGCTCGGGGCTGTCCGACGCGTGGTCGAGATCCTCGCTAAGGACACCGAGACCCCGTTGCTCGTTCAGTCGGCTGCGGCGGTTGGCAGCTTTGCTTGTGGCATGGATGCGGGAGTCATGGCCATCCTGGACAGCGGAGGGCTTCCTCATGTGCTCAACACTCTGTCGAATGCAGATGCAAAGGT